GAGTGCAGTTAAGCTGTGTACTTGGTGCCTGACACTGTCTTCTGATGCCTCTTGTTCACATAAATGAGGTAACCCAGCAGTCATTCTTTGCAGGCTCTATGCCATTCATGGTCTTCTAGACACTGATCTCCCCCAGTGAAAGTACTCATTCAACATTATGCATATTACTGTTCTTTAAATTCTCCCTAAAAGACTAAAGAAAGCCAGCATACGGTAACTCACCATCATTTCTCATAAAGGTATTTTTAAATAAAGTTTGATTTTTTTTTAAACAATGCTAGGTGAGTTTACTTCCTTTTTGAAAAATAACAGCCAAAAGTGGAAATGCTGAAAAGTAAATCTTTGATCTCAGACTGCAGCCAACACGCAGCCTCACTCATATAAGAAGTTCTTAAAACGGCTTAAATATTTGCAGCATTAGGCAATAAATACCTTTCTTGAAAGGTAATAAAGGGAAATAGATTTAGACATATCACAATAAGAAATTAAAGTTCAATCTTAATGATTTCAGAGAACTTGGATGAATCTTCAAATCATTCCAGACACCCAAAGAATTAGGGGAAAAAAGAAATCTAAAATTCAGGTACTTGCATTCTTCCTCCATCCTCAAGCACATCACCTACTGTGATTCACCAATGCAAGTCCCTTTTACCAATCAGTGTCAAACTACAAAATCATGATGGAATGGAGACAGCCTGAAATGCTCCCACTTCTTCAGATGACAGAAGTTCACCGTGTTAGAATCACAACAACTGTTGAAACCTACCGGTAACTGTATTTTTAAATTTAACATCGTTACCATGAGGAACAATGGAAAGGATCAATGAATATTTGACCTTAGAAAAGGTTTTGTAACACAGAAAAATACTAACAAACACATAATTACATAAAAGTATCTGCTTTATACTGTAACAAAAGCAAGAGGAACACGAACAAGTAAACTGTAAAATATAAGTCAATAATTCAGAGTATTCATGTATTTCTGTATCTTTCACCAATAATGAACATTACTTGGCACACTACTGAAAGCATAAATGCTGAAGATTCAGAAATTTATCTTTTTTTTATGTAAGTGAGCTACCCATATTAAGTCATGCCAAGGTTCAATAATCTTGAAAAAAGAAAACTGTATTTTCAAGTGTTCAAGAAGCTGTTGTACTATCTTCTTAAAAAAACAAACAAAAACAAAAAAAAATGTAGCACCGCAAAACCCCCACCCAGCCACCAAACACCTCACCCCTAAGACTAGCAGGATCTGATGGGAAGGAGTAGCTTCAGAAGACATTTTTGTACCTTCACTAAAAAAGCCACAAGCCTGGCATTATGACAGATAAAATAAAGTAGCCAAGTGAAGCAAACCACTTCGTACCTGAGCAGTTTCCAAAGTTTCTTACCTCAAAGCCCGACTGAGCTTCTCATAGTTCATCGTGGGTTTGTTTTTCCGCTGTCCCCATTTTTGCGCAACCAGTTCAGGTTGATTCAGTTTAAACTCTCCTTCGTCACCGACCCACGAAATACAGTCCCGAGCATCTTTGTCAGTGAGAAGTTCTAATAAAAACTGCCACAACTGGATTTGGCCATTGTTTCCTGTTGAAATAGGGATGACAGGATCCATGTCAAGTAATCCTTTTTACATTCCCCTCAGAGCTAAAAACTTTCAACCAATATTAGAGCAGACCAACATAGAATATGTGATGGAAAGGAAACTTGGACTTAATTAATTTCCTCTAATCATTCTCCTGTAAACATTTTCTGGCAAAGACATCAGTATTAGTCTATTAAAAAAGAAACTGGTGAATACAGGAAAAAATAAATCATGATTTCTCATAAATTTGTACCTAGAACTTAAGAAAAAAACCCAAACTTGTGCAACACGACACAGTGTTTTAGACACACACCTAACCCTGAAATAGAACAGATCTAGCAAGAGCTGCTTATTCCTCTTCAAGCACATACACATAAAAATTTATATGTAACAGAAGTAGTTTTTTCAAAATATAGCTTAGTCTCCAATTTTCAACACGAAATATTAGAAATACAAAAAAAGAAAACCCCATACTTCAGCTTATATCAACATAACATCTTTTGTGTCCAGTCATTAAGATTTCTCTTTAACTCGAGTTATCTGCAGTTAAATTTCTAAATTCCCAAAGAGATACAGATAGCAGACCCAATGTCTAAAAGGGAGAAAGACAGAGCATTCCCCACTGATGTCAGCTGATAAAATCTTGGCCTAAGAATCCTGAATGACATCATCATAGACTTTTACGAGGAGTTTAGAACAATTCACGGGGAAGGAAAGGATTTAACAGGAAAAGTCACAACAGTGGAGAGAACAAAAGCAAAAATGACAGCAAGAAAAAATAACATAAAGAATAAATGTTATGCAGTGGTTTGAAAGGACAGACTGTTAAGTGACAGGAAGAAAAAGAATTTTATGCTTCTCATTTACTGCAGGATTCAAAAGCTGTGGCACCGCATTAACATGGTGACTGTGTAAGCTCACCAACCTGCCAGGTCTGCGTGTGCTTGTGACACAGTTTGTAAATATAGTCCCCTTCACACCACATGGACTTGGTACAAACCTCACATTTAGAGTGATGAAGAGGTGCTCTACAAAACTGCAATTCAAATTAACGATCGTCTGCTGCATTTGCATTTAAAAATAATGGAGATAATACCTGTTCTGTTCCCAGGGGAACTTCTATCTTCCCCAGAGATCCTCGGAGCTCTCTGTACTTTAGCTGCCTTTGCGCTGCTGTTTATTACTTTAATGGTGGTTGGGGTAGCAGGCTGTACAGATGCTGGAATAATCTGCACAGCTGTAAAGCAGAGAACATTGCAGATCATCAATTATAAATTGCTGGCACAGAAATAGGCATAAAATATTTATTACCTCTATTATCATAACATCTAGGAGCTAGTTTTATTCCTTTGCTAAAAAGATACACTGTAAAAAGTCACAATGCTAAGAATAATTTAAAGACTTTTTACTTCTTACAGTGGAAGTTGTGGTTTTAGACTTGTACTAGAGATGCCACATTACAGATAAAACATCAGCTGCAGTTCACTACCATATGTATTATATGTTTCCATAAAAAAACCCTCACATGCCTTTGTTTTCATCTTTAAGTTATTCCCGTATGATCTACCCTAATGCACTTCTCTCTGCAGTCACTGTACAACCCTCCACACCTGCTACACCAACAGCAACTAAACACCCTTCTATTGCAATGGTGTAAGAGGATGCAAATGCCTCACTCTAGCTGGCTTCACCTAGACACAAACCCAGGGTGTAATGCAAGGTCTACCTATTTAACATATAAGCTGCTCACAAGTCTTCTGAAAATGGATTCATTTTAATAATTGATGACACTGCTTCAGCTGGAAGAATGAGTTTCAAATAACTGGCAAGTCACTTTAATGTATTTTTTTTTAGTACTGGTTTCTGAACAAGTCCTCTCTTCCACAATCCCTTTCAATTTTTAGAAACGCATTCTTTTGAGAAATCATAACATTTTAATATATCCATTCATTAATGCAATACATAACCTAAAAAAAACCAGAACGACTTAAGACCTCAAATATGTATCCTAGACATCTTATCTCAAGAGAGTAGTTCTGGTCATACACCACCTTTCAGCGAATAACAAAATATCGAGAAAACCAACATTCTGCTTTGAAGTTTAAAATATGCCCTTTTCCCCTCACCAAGGAAAACTACTCCCTCCAGTGATTTTCTAAATGTACTACGACAATGCTGAACCAAAAGTCCAGTGCTAAATCTGCAAACAGATAATTGTGTGAATTAACTGCTGACAGAAGTACTTACGCTGATCAATAGTAACAGTTGCTATTTCTCCAGAGTGTTCTTGGCTAGCCAACACATCTGCAAAGTAGGAAAAAAAAAAAAGAGTAACTTTTTATTTAACCCACAAATACCAAGCTACCTGAAGAGCAAACACTTTCATATTTTGTAGAGGAAAAAAAAGTCAAAAATTGGTATCGGTTTGCAAGAGACATGCACAGCTCACAGTCTCATGAACAGAGGCAATTAACATCTGTCATTCAATTTTCAGAAATAAGGATGTACACAGTGAATTAGCTATATCATGTAAATGAAGATGGAAATAGTTTTTATTCTGTCAAGTTACATCGAAGCATGGTAAATCTGAAATGCATGTATATATTATTGTATTATGCACATACAACACATCGCTTATCAGTTGTGTGCAATCTAAGGATTTAATTGCCTATGCTTGACAATCTCCATTTCTACAGGACTGAAATGTACATTAAATAATTCGCAATCGATATTTAATTATAAAACTCTCAAATTCAGGAGATGCATGAACCAAAAATCTTTAATTAAACAAAGGAGGAATCATCAGTCACTACTTCCTCCCTATTAGTTATAAAGTTTGATGAAAGACAGGCAACTGGATTTAGTATACAGACATGTTTCATGTCAGCAGACATTCTCACTAATACTGCCTGTCGTCTTGTACTGACGTGCTCATCTTTACTGCCAGTATTAAACAGAGGAGAAACAACTGCTCACTATTGGTTTCATCTTTAAAGAAACCAAGGAAAAAATAAGAGGGAGAGAAGGGTTGAGGAGAAACAAGTAAAATGAGTTACAGAAAAATCTCCATACACTTTCGAAGAAGTTCCAAGTGGCTCCAGAGGATTTCTCCCCGCGGGACGCGCTGAAAGAAGTCTTCCTGACTGAGACTGCAGAGCTCCCGCCCAGAAATGCCGAGGGCACTGAGGTCAATGTCAGTCATGCTGAACTCCTTCATCACCCAGACCACCCAGTGGAGTACCTGGTCTGTCGACCACTGCACTGGGTCTGAGAAAAAAAAGAGAGAAAGCTGAAAATCACCCCATTATGCACTGTCCTCACGGAGGACACCGAGCTTGTGCTTATTGTAACTGACAAGAAGAACGAAATGCAAGCATCTACCAATCCACAGCATTCAAACAGGAGCATTTTCTTGTATGACCTTTCCTGGAGGCATTTAAAAACAACTGTATTTAGAGGGATTCTTGTTATCTAATTAAGTTTTAAAAAGAGCCTGCTTCTAGGCCAGTCAGCGCCGCTATTCAGTTAAAGCCCAACGGTGGTTATGTTTTCAGTTACACAGTAAGTTCCATAAAAGTAAACACGTAACACCAGCAAGTGTAGTTACTGTGACTGAATCTGCCTGAACAGAAAGTTGACTCCTCTTCAAATGATGAAGGACTGATGTAGCTTGGTGGGGAGATACAAAGGACACACCCAGGATTTTCTTTAGCAAAAGCTTTTACACCAGAACGATGCCCGACATTGCTCAAACACAGAAAATAATTACTTTTCTTTTTCCATAGGCATTTAGTTTAAAAAAAAAAAAAAAAAAAAAAGACTAGTCTCTCTCACACCAGGATGCTCTTCACTCAAATATGCTGACCAGATGTGATTATGATGAAATATTACATTCTGAACTCTCATTTACCTTACCCCAGTTTCTAAATTATTTAAAATCACCAACCTACTAGGTTTGGCTGAGAGGGAGTTAACTTCCTTCATCACAGCCCATATGGTCCCATGTTTTAGGCTGATGACCAAAACAGCGTTGGTAACACACCAGTGTTTTAGCTACCGCTGAGCAGTGCTTGCAGAGTCTGGGTGTGACGGACTAAAGCCCTAGGGGTGGAACATGACTCGCCAAATAAACACCTACAATGGAGGAAGGCTCAGAGGAGATGGGCAGGGGCAAGGTGCCTATATTTCTCAGATAATAATGCAAAGAAGCTGACATCTCAACAAAAAGGAGGCAGAGGGTGGCCTTTTAGGTAACAGCTATACACCACTGAGCAGATGAACTGGTGGTGTAAATGTCTCCCTCAGTCAGCCAGACCAGCATGGGGGGAGTGGCTACATTGCTCATTCCAACACAGAATGAGTCACAGGGTGGTAGGGGTTGGAAGGGACCTCTGGAAATCACCTAGTCCAACCCCCTTGCCAGCGCAGGATCACCTAGAGTAGATCACACAGGAACAAGTCCAGGTGGCTTTGTAAAGTCTCCAGAGAAGGAGACTCCACCACCTCTCTGGGCAGCCTGTTCAGTGCTCTGGCACCCTCAAAGATTTTCCTCAAGTACAGGTAGAACTTCCTGTGCTCCAGTTTGTCCCCACTGCCCCTTGTCCTGTCTCTGGGCACCACTGAGAAGAGTCTGGTCCCATCCTCTTGACACCCATCCTGTAGATATTTATAAGCATTGATGAGATGCCCGTTCGGTCTTCTCCAGGCTAAACAGACCCAGCTCTCTCAGCCTTTCCTCATAAGGGAGATGTTCCAGTCCTCTAATCATCTTTGTAGCCCTCCTCTGGACTCAACTCCAGTAGTTCCCTCTCTTTCTTGAACAGGGGAGCCCAGAACTGGACACAGTACTCCAGAGGTGGCCTCACCAGGGCACAGTAGAGAGGGAGGATGACCTCCTTCGACCTGCTGACCACGCTCTCCTTAACACACCTCAGGATCCCATTGGCCTTCCTGGCCACGAGTGCACATGGCTGGCTCACGATTAACTTGCTGTCCACCAGCACTCCCAGGTCACTCTCTGCAGAGCTGCTTTCCAACAGGTCGCCCCCAGCCTGTACCAGTGCATGGGGTTATTCCTCCACAGGTGCAGGACCCTACACTTACCCTTGCTGAACCTCATTAGGTTCTTCTCCGCCCACCTCTCCAACCTGTCCAGGTCTCGCTGAACAGCAGCACAGCCTGCTGGCGTATCAGCCACTCCTCCCAGTTTGGTATCATCAGCAAACCTGCTGAGGGTACACTCCATCCCTTTGTCCAGGTCACTGATGAAGACGTTAAACAGGACTGGACCCAGTACTGGCCCCTGAGGAACCCTGCTAGCAACAAGCTTCCAGCTGGACTCTGCACCACCAGTCACAACCCTCTGAGCTCTGCCATTCAGACAGTTCTCAATCCACCTCACTGTCTACTCATCTATCCCTCACTTCCTAAGCTTACCTATGAGGATGTTACGGGAGACAGTGCCAAAAGCCTTGCTGAAGTCGAAGTTGACAACATCCACTGCTCTCTCTTCACCCACCCAGCTAGTCATGCCATCACAGAAGGCTACCAGATTGGCCAAGCAAGATTTTCCCTTAGTGAATCCATGTTGACTACTCCTGATAACCTTCTTTTCCTCCAGATGCTTGAAGATGACATCCAGAATGAGCTGTTCCATCACTTTTCCAGGGAGTGAGATGAAGTTGACTGCCCTGTAATTTCCCGGCTCTTCCTTCTTGCCCTTTTTGAAGACTGGAGTGATATTGGCTTTTCTCCAGTCCTCAGGCACCAATCCTTTTCTCCAGAATCTTTCAAAGATGATGGAGAATGGCTTAGCAATAACATCTGCCAGCTCTCTCAGCACTTGTGGGTGCATCCCATCACTTGTGGGTGTCAAGCTTGCCTAGCTGATCTCTAACCTGATCCTCCTCAACCAAGGGAGAGTCTTCCTTACTCCAGACTACGTCTCTTACCTCCAGCATCTGGGATCCCTAACAGCCAGCCTTGGCAGTAAAGATGGAAGCAAAGAAGGCATTCAGTACTTCTTCCGCCTTCTCTGTATCCTCCGTCACCAGGGTACCCTCCCCATTCAGCAGCAGGCCCACATTCTCCCTAGTCTTCCTTTTGCTGCTGATGTACTTGTAGAAGCCCTTTTTGTTGTCCTTGATGTCCCCTGCCAAATTTCATTCTAAGTGGGCCTTAGCACTCCTCATTGCATCCCTGCATACTCTGACAACATTCCTATACACTTCCCAAATGGTCATTCCCATTTTCCACATTCTGTAAGCTTCCTCTTCCTTCTTCAACTTAAGTTTTTTCCAAAGCACCCTGCTCATCCCTGCAGGCTGCCTGACTCCTCTGCTTGATTTCATACTCATAGGGATGCACCACTCTTGAGCCTGAAGGAAGTGTCACTTGAATATTAGCCAGTTCTCTTGGGCCCCCCTACCTTCCAGAGCCCTAACCCACAGGACTCCTCCAAGTAGGTCTTTGAAGAGGCTAAAGTTTGCACTCCTGAAGCTCAGAGTTCTAATCCTACTTACTACCCTACTTCTTCCATGCAGGATCCTGATGTCCACCATCATGTGGTCACTGCCACCAAGGCTGCCCCCAACTTTCACATCCCCAACCAGTCTTTGTTTATCAGCACAAGTCTCAGCAGCACCCCTCTTCTTGTTGGCTCCTCCACGACCTGTGTCAAAAAGTTGTCATCAATCTTCTGCAAGAATCTCCTGGACTGTGCATGTCCAGCTGTGTGGTTCTTCCAACTAATATCAGGGTGGTTGAAGTCTCCCATAAGAACCAGGGCCTGTGAGCGTGAGGCTACTTCCAGCTGTCTGCAGAAGGCCTCATGGGTAAACACCCACGACAGTGTCCTCCATATTAGCCTGCCCCTTAATTCCTACCCATAAGCTCTCGACTCATACTTCATCCACCCCTCGGCAGAGCTCGATACATTCCAGTTCTTTCTCACATAAAGAGCAACTCCACCACCTCGCTGGTCTGTCTTTTCTGAAAAGCATGCAGCCATCCATGACAGCATTCCAGTCATGCTATCCCACCACAAAGCCTGTCTCACTAAGCTGGCCAGCCTACTGCCAAAGATCCCCTTGCCTCTTCTAGACAGGTGGATACCATCCCTCCCTAACAGGTTATAGTCCCCAAAGAACGTCCCATTGTCACAGAAGGCAAAAACCCTTGCGACGGCACACAGAGTACACAAACTAGACAACTAGCAAAATCTAAGGGATTTCTAAGGGAGCAACGGGCTCTGGCTGGTTTCAACCCACATACACCTTCCCAGCAGCTGGGAACACCTGATACTGTGATGGTGAGTGTATTATATAGAGAACGGTAATGGGAATTGCATTGGTATTGTGACTGAACAGTGTACTGCAACTGCTGTATTTTTCTAGGTGTAACTTACAAATTATACTAAAAGCACAATACAAAAGTATCACTGCTAAATCAGAAACCCCACGCAACATCAACCATTGTCAAGCAAATTTGACATTAAACATTACACCCTCCACGCATGGAATATCTAAAGGAACCTGGTCAGAGAATACTGGATTCCCACACACAGTCGTCGCTGTTTCTCTTGGCCACCCCAGCGAGTCGGCTTGGGGTGCACAAGAAACTGGGAGCAGACACAGGCAGGACAGCTGACGCCAAGTAACAAAAGATGTATTCCATACGTACGACAGCAGCAACAAAACCCAGGGGCAGTTTTTCCAAAGTAGCCCTTGCATGGAGGCTGGCCGGGCAACCGTCTGCTGGGGATGAGTGATTGCTTTTACATCACTTTATCTCCCCTCCCTCCCCTTCTTCTCTCTCCTGTTTTTTCTTTATTTATACTAAAACATGTCAATGAGTAAAAACTCGAAATCAAAACTAAAGCAGGTATGTTTACTTCCCCTGACCCAAGGGCAAAAACCAGGAGCAGAACAATTATGTATTTTTAAATGACAATACCCCAAACAGTTGTCATCTTGACAAGTTTTCATTTTAAGAATTAAAGAAAGCAAGGCTTTCTAAATCTATAAACATCAACTAGGAGCCACAAATTCCATTACTGTCCATAAAGGACAGTAACACTGCACCATTTTTCACTGATGCTACCTAAAACCACACAGTGTAATAATTAGGGAAAAGCCACTTCAAAAGGTTTTGTTCTTCAAAATGTTATCAGCAGGGAATTTTCATCAAAAAGTTGCTTTAACTTGTTTTCATGGACAGAACATAATCTGCAAGGTAACATGAATCATTACTTTCTCTAACCAGTTCCATGGTTTTCCAGCTTTCTGCTGCTCCCTTTTCTGGCTTTATTTCTCATACCAATTAACATATTCCTTCTTCCTAGGGACCTTTGCAATGGTACCAAATTTATGGATTCTCTTAGGAAGAATACCTTCAACAGCTAAGAAATTGGAATCTCTAAGAAAACCTACCAAAACATAACACAAAGTCACAACATTTGGAAGACCTGCTAAAAGCTAATCTTCCATTTGCAGCAAAACAGAGAAACCTGTAAGGAAGATACTGAACCACTACCTTTCTCGATTATGATTATTTACTGACTGAACTTGATATTTAGTGTAACAATGTCTTTTGAAAACATTCAAAGAATAATCTCAGATGAAGAATTTCAGAGAACTTCACAGAACCAAGCCTCATGGCTCTTTGAAAGAAAAAACAGCCAAAGAGGCCAGTTAAAGTGTATATTTATAAATGTTGGGGGGAAGGCTTTTTTGGGGACTACGTAAGAATCTTAGTAAGATTCTTTATTCTCAGACACCTCCAACTATATCATAACACAGAACTCAGTGGTACTTTATTTCAACCCAAGTCCCTAAAACGTCAACTCAGGTAACATTTAAAATTTTATTCTTTCTGGGAAGGCATTTTAGCACATTTTTCTGATATCAAGATATTTATCACTTATGAAAAAACACCAATCACCCAAACGAACAGAAGAACCCATCCCCTACCTGAACACACAGATACAGAGTCACATATTATTACCGTAGGGTATTCCAATGCGCTCCTGCTCCTTTCGGTAGCCTTCCAGTGCTGCAGCCCATCGTGTCACTTGTTCAGAGGTTTCATCTGAAATTGCTGCAATATGTTTTGTTCCATCCAATGTTATTACTTGAGCTTCCTCAACAAGGTGAGCTTCAGCCTCTGCATGATGAGCATCTGGATCAATCACTACCTCCACAGTCTCCACAGGCTTCACAATTTCAAGGATGTTTAACTTGGGTTCAATCCCTAGGTATAGAAAGAACAAATATAAAACCTGAAGACAGCAATGCAAATATGAAAAACACATTGCTTTAAAATCTTCTGATTAAGAAGTGTTAGCATACTTAGGAAAGAAGCATGACACAAAAGCATCAAATTTTTGCAGGTGTCCTAAATTAGAATGACATGTTCTATTACACAGTATATACTTTAGTAAGGTCAATAAAAAAGCTGTCCCTCTGTCCTTTCCCGGTATTACAGCTTCCTGTTCTGCTTACGTGATCCGCTTCACGTATCTTGAACGGAATGCTCGGCAGGTAGGCATAAGTAACAAGTATTTTGTTCTGTAAGAAATATACCAAACCAAAATAATAAAAAAAAAGCAAGTCCAAAAAAACCCAGAACATGTATCCACTTCTTTTGCCCAACCAAGAGGCACTTCTGTCAACCTTCACATTATTTCCCCGACATCTCTGGGAGTTAACGTTTTCTTTCAGTACCTTTCAAGAGGCAATATGTTCAACAGCAAGCTAAAAGAAAATTTGAAAATTCTTCATGTTTTAAACTTCACCAGCGATTCATGGCTTGGTTTTATATCCACCATTTCAAATACTAGACCATGGAGTTGGAAGATCTGCCCATATCTATTCTGCAGCAGTAAAGAACACATTCTACTAATGCTTTGTATCACCACCTTCTCTGCTGTCTTCTGAGGAGGTATATTGCCCATCTGGTGCCTCACCAAATTGCTGACATTGTATAGAAGATTTTAATTATCATTATAACATCTTCTATAGAAAAAAATTATTTCAATTTTGTGACGTAATTGCCATTATAATAACTAATAACCAAACTTCCTTCAGAGATTTTTATCAAACATATTTGCACATAAAAAAAGAAAAAGATCTGTAAAATTCTATTTTATTATGAATTGGAAAACCTTGACTGGGGTTTGGCAGTTGAAAGTAGGATTCACAGGACACCACATGTGCAGAATAACTTCAGTATCTTGTGCCATACAGTACTACTTTGTGTCCCTCCCACCTAATCCATATTAAAGCTCAAGAGATGGTAACTTCCGTAGGTGGTGGTCTTAAAAGCTAAAACCACAATCCATTCTCTCTTCATGGAGAGGGTGGTGAGGCACTGGAACAGGTTTTCCAGAGGTGTGGATGCCCCATCCCTGGCTGTCTTCAAGGACAGGCTGGACGAGGCTTTGAGCAACCTGGTCTAGTGGAAGGTGTCCCTGCCCATGGCAGGGGGGTTGGAACTAGATGGTCTTTAAGGTCCCTTCCAACCCAAACCATTCCGTGATTCTGTGATTTACAAGGGAAAACAAATGGAATACTTACAAGTAAGACAAGTAAGAATAAACCAAGTTTTTTTAAGACAAGCATTCCTCTAGACCTTAGAAGTAATTCAGCTTGAGAAAACTAGTAGAAAGGGAACACTGCAAAGACCGTAAGTACAACATGCAGCAATATGAAATTAAGAAAGTGAAAATAGATGTAGGCAATCAGTAAGTGGTTGATCAGGTGAAGAGGCAAACAAGTTCCTTACTTAGGAGAGTAAGTGTTTTATCCAGGTCATGTAAGATTAACATGCACAGCACAGGCTTGTTTTAGTGTCAGATAGAAATGAGTAAGGGAAAACACTAAGGGTTAAGATTCTATTTTTGATCTTCAAAAAAGAAAGTAAAGAAAAAAGCTTCTAGAGAGGAACAGTTTACTACTGCTCAACAAAATAATTCACTGTCTGTCAAATAACTACACGCCAAAAGAACTGTGACTCTACTGCTTTATCCATAATGCAAACATGGAGATCAAAGTGATGACTCTCTGTAGAGGAATCAGCTTAAAAGTAAAAACGTTGTGAAATAACAGCCTGCCACCTAACCTACATCAATGTTAAATGAACATTAATTCACTGGGTCTGTCTGCACCTCTTCTCACATCTCTGCCTTTACCTACTGCTTAAGAAAATAGATTTCTAGTCTTCCTTGGACGGTTGTGGAACATCAAGTGACAACATCATGCACCCCAGAAGTGAGTATAAACTGGTACAAAACCCACAAAAACTCAAGGTCGTTAGCTATCAAGACATGTCAAGATGTTGCCAGTACAAGCCCCTTCACTGCTAATTGTCTGAAGCTAGAGAATATACTTGGGTTAAGATTGACCTACAGGCAACCCGGGTTTTGGGTGGTTTTTTTTTTTTTCCTTGGAATGTCTAGTATTTACCACAGCCAGAGACAGGACATGAGTCAAACTGCACCTTTAATCTAAATCAGTATGTTTCAGTACACTTACGAATAGTTCCTTTACACATAAAAAATAATAAAAACCTAGTTATTGCAAAAGACAGTTTAGAAACCACAGTTAAATGAGGAGTTACACACCTAAAACAGGACTTCGGACATCAGCTACCTAAATCCAAAGAATCTTCTGGGCTTAACTACCACTTAGTCCCAAAATCTGTACTATAGTACAGCTACACACATATGCTCAGAAATTCTCAAAGCAGCTAGACACTAACCTCTATGACAGTTAAGTGTTTAAACTTAGGGGAAACAGCATCTGTTTGGGAAAATGTTAATCTTGCAGGTGTGCTTTGTGTGCACCCAACAGACAGAACGGCGCTCAACACTAACAGCAGAGCTACAGACACTTCCGTTCACAAACACAGCCTTGAATCATTTAAGTTTGTGTAAGTGGTAAGTGAATGACTTGAACGGCAGGTCTGAACTGGACTTGCCTGCTTGTATACTCTGCAAACAGCAAACAGAAAGCAAAACTACACTGTCCACCTCCATAACGCAGGTCCTCTCCTCCTGCTCAAACCAATACCTGTCAGAGACTACTGCTCTCATTCTAGCCCGCTCAATCCAGTATCTCTGTCTCCTGCAGTTCATCTGAAAAAAGTGTGGCAAGTATTTCATTCAAGCTTGCCTCTACTCTGTTAATTCAGTAGAAAGGAAGTAGAAAATTCAAGAAGAGATCCCTTCAGGTGACAGACGGCCAGCCAGATCTTCCACCTCCAAAGTTTTCCCATAAAAAGATTTCAACCTCTGTCATACACCCAGCACTGGAATTTACTGTAAAAAACATTTCAAATAGCACCAGTCCATGAAATTTATTTTAATTACTACTACTTATAATGACACAAGGAAAGAAACACTCTGAAACTATGTAACCATTCAGTGATTTTCTCAATTATACAGCCATAAATAGTAGGGTATTAGGTTTGCTGACAAGCACGCCTGCAATATTAATTTCTTGGTACAACAGACAAACATAATTGCTTACCTTGCCTAGATATTACTTGCACACTGAGTTGCACTGTTCCATCTGTTTTCACTCCTTGATCAAAAAGGCTTCGATCTGGGTCCAGCTTGATAAAAGAAGGGAAAAAAAAAATTAAAAATACATATTGGTCTCACAGTTATAAGAAACTTACTCTCCTTTAAACTTCAGAAACACCCAGTGTCTGCAGCAAATTTTCTGAAAAAGCGTGCAGGTATTTTTAGTACTATGTGGACATAGTACATGACAGAAAGAATTTAATCAGAATTTTGAAACTCATCATTCTGGTCTGTTTAAGGTAGTTTCTCTTACGATAACATTTTTTCACTTAAAAATCCCAATGTAATACCTGGAAGTACCTTCACTTTGTGAAAAAGTATCTACAGTTCCTTTTCTCAGTTTTTAACACCTTCCTAAAAATTCTTGTCTTTAAAGCAGTATTCTCCCTGTTGTTTCTGCAGGAGCCACAGATGTCTGATTATAACTACAAATAAAGCATGCACCTAAGCACAACGTGAAACAGCTACACTGTCTAACATGTGGCAATGTGTGTAATAATTGGGGGTGGTGGGAATTTCTTGAGGAACATTTTGTTATCTAGGCCCCTCAACAGTATAAAAACCTTCTCGCTTTATTCACTCAAAATGAGATTAGACTCAAAGTTCAGGCAGTAACAGATGATGTGGGCTACCTCAAAAGAAGATAGTATTGTCATTGACCTCATTCTTCTTTCACCTGTATTGTTTTGCTTTCTTACCCTCAACCCAAGGACCCCAAAAGTATTTTGATTTTATTCACACTGAATTGCTGTGTACATATTAAAGAGTGTGATGATAGTGAACCTGACATAAAATTAAACTCTTAAGTGTAATTTGTATACCAAAAGAAGCGCGAATTCCACCAACTATGGAAGCAAGGGATGAAGTATGTAAAACACTTCTCCATTAAGAGGTTAAATATTTCATAATCTTTCAGTTTACCTGGATATCTTGCAGGCAAATTTCATGTGCATCCAAGGAACACTGCAGCCTGGGTTCCAGCAACTTCTTAAGATTTCCAATTGGTTCATTGATGTCAATAGCTTGACTCACAAATTCTGCTGTGGTGTAGGTTTGCTCAACGATGCTTAAATACCAAATTAATACAACAAATCATTACCTATGTGTTAATACAATAGGTATAGGAAAGCTTAAAAAAAGCTAGAAGTAAACTACATAAAAGGTCTTATTGACTCTGAAATGTAATACCATGCAGAAAAACTCTTAGCTTGAGTAGAAAGTGAATGACTAAATTTGGTCCCATTGATTTTACAGTTGTGTAACACTTCTTGCAGTTACAACTCTTCTGCTGCAGTTTAAAAAGCTAGGTTAAATACCAAGACTATTTTCAGATCACTGTTTTCAAGAGATTAAGTCATGATTAGTATCCTATACATTATTAACTTGCATGTAGAATAAACTCATCCTATTTGCCTTGCCTAGGCTGTATTTAAAGATGTTCAAGTTAAAAACACACAGAGAAACTTAACAGATAGGGAAAAAAGAACGAAAAAACATCCACTCTCATATAGAGTAACCATCCATGTCTTCTCACCAGTCAGCAAAAGGATAAGCATAATGCATACAAGAGACAACCAGAAGGAACTACAGCAATTTGGAGCCTTGAGGGAAATATTAGTCATGTGTCCTGGTTGTCCTGCACTAAAATGGTGACAGTATTGGCGCAGGCATTCAGAAACATCAGCGTTATGGGACTCGTGTCTTAACAACGACCTTAGACAGTTGGTCTCTCTACAAACACACAGAAGGAAATTAAAGTATACAGACATAGTCAATTTTAAGTAGTAAAAACATACAAGGAGCTCAGAATAAGAAGACACTAATAAGTGGGTTTGAATGAATTTTCTGAAACAGGTTGTTAAAGAGCAGGTCAACCACCAGCCTCAGCTATTTCTACCAAACACATTAACTGCCTCTCTGCGCTTTCAGTAACAGTTCTAAAAATTAGGAGGGAAGTATTAGGAGGAAAAAAACACGTTTGAAGTGAGTAAGTCAGTCAAAGGATATTAAGATTTTGGTACCTACAATTTCAATGGCCCTAATAACAATATAGTCAAAAGATACAAAACATCACTTCTGCTCTGTTAAAAACAAACGTCCCTGTATAAGAGTAAAGTAATGGACTGAAGAAACCGAAAGGTTCACCTCAATTACAGAAGGATACACCGAAGCTGAAAAGTTTGCAGCATGTACATGTAGACATGAAAGTATGAGAAGAGAATTACTAAGAACACAGCAATAGATAAACAAAATGGTTTGGGATTTAAGCAATTGAGATTGAAAAATACCATAGCACTGTACTGGTTTCCTATAGTGGCTACAGTTCCACTTCAAGAAAACCACCATTTAATTAGATAAGAGAAAAAACTGAAGAGAGCACAAGCAAAACTAAGAACGTTGCATCCAGCAAGCAAGTTGAAAAACTGTGGAAGCAAGAGCAGGGTTACAGAGATCATACTGAGCTGGATACTTCTGCCAGTTTGAAGTCACTGCCTTCGCCTAGCCAGAAAACACTTGCACTCCTTTCATAACTACGGTGATCTCTGCAGCATCACACAATACGTAACAACAAATCTGCGTAACCCAACTCAGCACATGCAGCCACAAATCTGACATCAATTAAAGAAACAAATAAACTAATTGCTGTGTAAGAACCCCAAAAAGCAAAGAGGGTACATACCTTTCTTCAGTGCATTCCTGTTTCTCAGTTCCATCGATTTCTATTTCTATCAGCTCCTCTGCCTCTCTCTTCGTCATGGCTGAAGTGTCTTAAGAACACAGCTATGAACAGAAGAGAATTTTTTTTTGGTAAGTCACAGACCAACAAAACTAGATGATGGGTTGTGTCCTATCAAACATCTTTTTAAACCAAATACCAGGATGACTTTTTAAAGACAAGAATTCACCTAAAAAATAAAGCCAAAAGTTAATCCAAATTTCACAAAACAGATGACAACACCTGTTCCTCCAACACACATTCTAGGGGCAAGCCCAGGACTATAAACGGACATGAGCACCGAGCCCAGGGCCTGATTTTCTTGGAGGCATACAAATTTACCAAATGTTTTTGTTATGGGCCAGCTACAGCTTATAGTGGCTGTTTGCAAAGAACTACTGAGAATTCTTCGAAAGTTACGCGTATTTTGCCGCCTAGATTCAGCTCCATGCTACCTTCCTAGCAAGGTTGAAAGATGCTGCTTAGAGATTTAAGCAGCCTTTTACATAAAATGCTGCAACAGGAAGCTGGACAGAAGATGCATCATTTCCTCACAAGTAAATAAACTCAAGAATAAAGTGTTTATTGAGTCTTCCATCTTTTCACCCATCCCTCTCACTGGCAATCACTCAATGGTATGTGCATAAAGAACGCATCTCATTAAGTCCCAAACGAAAGCAGTATGTTAGCAATTAAAAGGAGAGCTATTCTGTGATGATATTCTCATTGACAACACAGATTTTCACACCCTGTAGAATACTGAAGTCTGTTGGAATGTAAGGGGGAAAGAAAGAATTAAAGCATTTGATTTGTAAAGACATAGATTTGTATAATATTATCATGTTTCAGTAACCATCCCATACACCATGAGTATGAAATACATACGACAAAGAACTGGGCCAAATTACATTAACAGTTTATAACAAATAACACTAACACACAGGAAAAGGACTAAGAAGCAGGAGTACAGAGGGGAAAAAAAAAAAAAAGAAATCTCAGTAGAAAAAGCAAAATATGCTACTATAAAAATATCCACAACAGATTAGCAAGGTTTCCATGCTGGAATCATTCTTTCCCAAGGGACTACTGTATCCCAAGCCCAACTGTTTGTTAAGAGAATTTATTAAAGACAGTTAATAAGGGATCTTATTAAATTTTAAAACTTCTCAAAAGGAACAATAATCAACTAAGTTGTATAGTTGTAACAGAAAAGGTTTAAAGAAATTACTATCTCCTTCAAAAAATAAGACGTAAAATTAGTTTTGGTAGAAATCAAGCACTGCATGTCAATCTGTAAGAAGCTACCAGGGCTAGGCAGGTAATAAACAGCGCCTCATCAGTATCTCACCACTAGAAGCAAAACCATAACCTGTCCTGCTCACAGATCTGGCTCCGTGAAAATCACCTAACTGCCAGGGTAGGTTCTGCTGAACTGCAGTGGCAGTGTCCACTGAACAGGGCCCCAGGAGTCCAGCTCCCATATCCCTTAATCTTGTGTATCGTCTTCACAATAAATGGAGAAAAATGAAGCAACACTTCTGAAGAATCCAGGCAAGCTTAGTTAAGTATCTGAAAGAACCGACAACCTGCATGGTTACAAGTGATCATGTTGACTGTTCAAAGATTTTTCAGAATGAAGGTTTGAGCAAAGTCCCTTGGTGAAAAATTCCAAAACAGCTAACTGGTATCATAAAAAAAAGGGGGAAATTATTTCCTGTATTAGCAATCAGATTAAAACCCCACAAAACCAGGAATAAGTTCTGTTGTGGTTTTGTTGGTTGGTTGGTTTTTTTTTTTCCCCCGTGATGGAGTTTACGTGTACAGTCATAAAAGGGTTTAGGCTAGGATCTCTGTTCTTTGGTATATTCCTAAGTTATTTATTCAGAAAATTGTGGAGACCTGCAGAAAGAACTCACCCTATTGAAGGATTTCTGGCAGAAAATATTCAATATCAGTAAATGCAAAGTAAGTAAATATTGTAACAGCACAGTAACTGTATAGAGTTAGGTAAGACATTTTGAAGTCCCTATGAACTGAACTCCAAATTGGCAGCTGGTCTAGTAACTGTTCACTCACTCTTCAAAGGTGGTTTGTGATTGCATCTCGAAGGCTCTATTACGTTCCTGGTTACCCTGGGGAGGTAGGAGAAGGGAGCGAAGGCACAGACAGCAGGTACAGCAAGAGGAAGAAAGATGGTTCCATTGAGCACAGATGCAAGTAAGGGAGATGATGGGTGGAAAGAGGAAGAATAACATCATTAAAACATGTAAAAGTCATTAACAGTTCAGAGAAACGGGGAAAATTATTCACGCTTTCCTATGCTAGAATAGCGAATGCTGATGATACAAGCAGTTCACATGAAGTCTAGCAAAATCTGCTGCTACAGGATGATGCAGGGATTGAAAGCATACATAGGTGCAGATGGGACTAAGCTTCCCCAGCCTGCCCTGAAGGCTGCTGAGAAACAAGAGAACACAAACAGCCTGGCTTGCTAGGAGGGTCAGCACGGTAACATTTTCACAATAGCAACATTTTGTTGGAGGAACATATAAAACGCTGCTTGATTTGTGGAAAATACAGCCTACTGGTTTCTGGTTTTATTTTTCCTTCAACCTAAAAAGCCCTTAAGACTTACATTATCCAACAAGGGATCTGACCATAATGCCTAACACAGACCTCCACTAATGCAAGAGAAGGCACCTAATCAGCAGAGCCTTTTTTATGCCTGCACCACAGACCAGTGCTACTCCATTGTCTTTTGCACTTTCAATCTGAGTGGAGGAGTCCCATTGTTCTGTTAAGATCCATCTTTTCCCTAGCACACAAGGAATGAAGCAAGCAACAAGCTCATCATGATTTGGGCACAAACTTTACTAGTAGAATTGGCATTTGTTCTCCTATCAGGTAATTGTGAAGTGGGGGCAACTACTGGAGCCCGTATGCATCATCAGTTGATACCGAAACCAAATCACTGGAGATATTCGTGCTCCAAAGAAGCTCTGGTGTTCACGGAGCGTTTGGTACTATCCATCCCTATCATTATTTGAATCCGTAAATATCGACACAAACCAGGTAACACAGCAGACTCCTTTACAGATTGCATTTGCAAGTTATCAGCCAGTTAGGATTTCATCAAAGACAGCGGACCACTAAACGGGGCGGATTCATGCCACATTTCGAGTGTTTTCCTTCCTTACCAATAATCAGAAGTTATAAAATAAAACCGAACTGGGAGAAGTGGCTGTGCTGAACGTAGCTGGCCGAACGCCAGGAAGCAAACTACCCAAAATCCCGGCGACCCTCTTAGGTTTTCACCCCAAGTAAGTTTTACAAGTGGCGGAAAGGTTTTACGCCCCGGAGAAGACTCACGGACCCCGGTGCCGGCTGCCTGACC